ATAATATTTTAAATACTGCGCTATAACTATTATTAGGATAGAATATTAGAAGACGTTGCGTAGTATATTTAAAACTACTATTATTATAGTGCTTATATCTCCTAGAAGCGCTAATAGGGTCTATTATAACCTATACTAGTTGTGTTACAATACTAGTCCTAAATATCTATAGATTTTATAGTTAACCTACCTATAAAAGATAATAGCAAACCCTAGTACCTATTAGTTATTACTAATAGATTATCTAAATATATTTAGCTTAAAGTAATAGTCTCTATAATAGCTAATTATTGTGCAAGGATCTTCTAGGATAACTAGTAGTAGTTCTAGGGCTTTCTATCCTCTATTATTACTAACTAAGGCTTAGACTAGTTAGGATCCTTCTAGATAATATTATACTAGATAATAAAGATAAACTAGTTACTATCTACTGCATACTACCCCTAGATAGACAGCAGGATAGAGTAGGCAAACTAAGAAGTATAGGTAGTGCTGCGTATAATAGTATACTTTAAGTAGACTAACTAGCCTAACTACCTTCTAGCCTGCTAACTTATACTTAATAATAGGGACTCTAGTATAACTAGTGTTAGCCTAAATCTACTTTTAAATAGGTATACTATAGACACGCTATAAAAGATAATATTACTACTAGTAAAGCCTAAGAATCCTTATAGAGAGGCTATAGCGTTCTTGTTACACCTATAGAGGGGTGTAGAGCTAGCGTAAGCTACTATTACGTTCTAATAGTAATAATAATAGGAAGTAATAAACTAGTCCTAATGCCTAGCTAAAAAGTTCCTAAAAGGTAATATAGTTTAGTTTATAATGCGTAATATAAAGATAAACTAACTAAGTAAGAAGTTTAACTAGCTATAGGTAAAGTATAAAGTAATAGAAGTCCCTACTCTACTTATAGTAGTATTAGACTTACTAGGGAACTTATATAAGACTATGCATATAGATCTACTAGAGAGAGCTGCTAATAATCTGCTACTAAGCTAGAAGCTTTAGAACTTATAACTAGGCCCTATAGTTACTCTAGAAAATAAAGATATAATACTAGATAAATAGGAAGTAGAAGAGATCCTTTATGTAAAGAATATAAGAGAAAAAGGGAAGTGTTAAGTCCTAGTAAAATAGAAGGGGTATATTAATCTAATATAGCACCTGCTAGAGGTAGTGTAGGATACTAAGGCTCTAGATAGGTTTAAGGAATAGTATAGGGATATTACGTATAATAATAGCCTAATATATATAAAAGCTAGGAAGTAAGTATAGAAGAAAACTAGAATAATAACTTAGACCTTTATTATAATTAAGAAGTAGAAAGGTATTAGAGATATCTTTTATTTATCCTAATAATACTCTAAGCAAGTGCCCTACTATTAAAGTTATATAAGATAGCTAATAATTAGGTAGTAGTATCTATACTATTACTATCTATAACTAACCCCCCCCTAGCTCCCCCTAAACTATTGTTTATATTATTTTAACGCCTCTACGTCTCTTAGTAATAGTAGTAACACTTGTGCGTGGCGTAAGTAGGGGAGGACTTAGTTAAGAAGTATAAGCAATAGTAGTAGTAGCAGTAGGAGGAGGGTAGTGCTTTAATAGTCTACTAACGCGTAGCACCCTAGGCCTAAAGAAAGTAAATATTAGAATATATATAAAGGGAATAAAGGAAAATTAATACTAATAATAAGAGTCTTAATACTATAGGTAGTGCGCTTAGCAGCGCTCTTAAGCTTATTAATATAAAGGTTAGTTTAGGCCTAGATCTTGTTTATACGCTAGTTAATACGCTAGAAGGTAATACTAGTAGTAGTAGCAAGCTATATAATATTATTATTACTATAACTACTACGCGAAGGCGTAATAGTAGACTAAAGTAGAAACGCTAAAGTACTAGTAGTAGATAGAATAATAGCACTAAGCTAATACTAATTATAGGCGTGTAAGTAGGTAGTAGGGGTAAGTAGAGTAATAGTATTATTAGTTTAAGCCCTTAATATAAGATCCTTAAAATAATAGTAGAGCTAGTAGAACTATAGTATAAACTAGTAATAGGTGCCTTTAGTAGGTTTCCCTATAAAGGTGCTAAGGGTCCCCTTCTTTATAATATAGAGGTAATCCTCCTAGTAACTATAATAAAACTAAAGCTAGTTACAGAGGGCTTAGCAAATATTAGGATTATTAGTAAGGATAGCTTCTAATTAAGTATAGGTCTTATAACTATAATAGTAGGACTTGTATAAGCACCCTAGATATAGTTAGAACTTGCTATAAAGAAAATAAAAATTAAGGGGAACTTACTACTACCCTCCTAATAGTTATACTTACTAAAAAGATAAAGCTAGTTAATATACTAATTATAAGGAAGTAGCTTTATAAAGCTACTATTATACTCCTTATTATCTAAGTTACTAGAAATAATAAAGCTACTAAGTAGCTATATTTAGGGAGACGTGTGCTAAGAAAAAGTTAGTGTAGGAAATATAGGGAGAATATTAGAAGTACGCACCTTATCTTAGTAGGCCTAGTGTAGGGTCTAACTACCTTATAGTAGATCCTTACTACTAGCACTAGTAGTAGTAGATAGAGATATAATAGAGGCTATATAGGCTAGATTAATAGAAAAAGAGTAGAGATAAGACTAATTAGTTAGGAAAATCTGCTATATAATAAAGTAAGTTTAGGAAATTTATAGTAGGGTAGGACAGCTATATTAGAACTTTTATAGTAGAGTGCTAAAATAAGCATATAAACGCCACGCGCGTGTACTACTTAATATATAGGCCTATTATAAATTAGGAAGGAATATAAAGATATAATAATAAAACTAAAAAATATAGTAATAAAGCCTAATATAGATTATAGAGGACAAAGATATAACCCTAGACCCCTAGAAAGACGATTTTATAATAGTTTATAGGGGAAGGTTAGGGGTATATAAAGGACTTAGGCTTATGCCTAAGCCTAGGTCTAACACAAGATAGACTAAGTCTAACACTACTACTAAGCGAACACACTAGACACCTATAAAAAGGCGTAGAGGGCTTATCTCTCCTTTAAGATACTAAATACTATTATTAACGCTTATTGTATTCCCCCTTAAGGCTAGTCTATAACATTACTATATAATATACTAGTATTTATTAGGTAAGTATATTATCTATATATTATACTAGACTATTATTAGATATACTAACTTACACTAATTACTATATAGTTATACTACTTATATACCTATTTAATTTATATTATACTATAGTTTTCTAAAAATAAGTAAGGTACGTAGTAGATATCCTTATAATTACGCAGGTATAGGCTAATTATTACGTAGGTATAGGCTAATAATTAGGCAGTTTTAGGCCTGTTTATTAGGCAGGTATAGGCTATTAATTAGGTAGGTTAGGCCTAGGGACAGGATAGGCAATAACATACTAGTAGTTTATATAAGGATACTAAAAAAAATCTAATACTATTATTACTATACCTAATACTTATATTTTATCTTTTATAAACTACTTTATATACTCTACTAATAGGTCTATTATAAACTACTTTATTTACTCTACTAATAGGTCTATAGTAAACTACACTATGTTTATACTATAAAAAAGTAAACTACTACTTTAAACCTATTTATAGGTATACATAAGGTTAGTTTACACCTATATAGTAAACCCCTAGCGTACCATTCTACAGTAAACAATTTTTTACCGTAGTGACACGTGTGTACAGAACTATTGGACTTGGGTCAGCACACCTTGCTAAATCCCGCATCGTACCGAATCCGACCGAACGCTCCTGTGACTACCGTTAATTCTTGGAGTTTACTCAGATACGAAACTGTCGGCTGTACTTTCGACATAAGTCATCACGGAAGTGCAAACCCGACGTGCGAAAGATCCGCAGAAACCTTAAAGAAGAATGCATTACAAAATGAGTTTGGTGAATAGCGAGGACGAGTCGGATGCAATCCCTCTTGCATGTTGCTGTCGGTGATACTGATCAACAGCCACGCCAAGCCTACTTGACGCATGGGAAGACTAAGGAAACCATAACTTATGCAAGAGAGAACCATACCGACGGTACTTAGCACAAAAGCTGACTCTTCAATTCCGAGAAAAAGGCGCCAGGCAAGTTGCGGGACTATCCTTCGTTGAGTACTTCGGTTATACACAGTTGGGTAGCCCGGGCACGCGTCATGTTGATTGTGGTGGCATGTCAGGCCACAGCCTCACACAGTCGATCCTACTGTGATGGAACAACTGGGAATTACGTACATAGTATGAGCCAGGAACATGGGTTATAGCCAGCAGGGTAGTACTCTGGGCCTTGCAATGCAGATGGCATGTGTAATGGAGTACAGGACCTTGGCACAACCCGACAGCACAACAGCACGACAGTCTGCACTGCGGGGTGTGAACCTTCCAAGGTGCCGAGTGAGTGTTCCTATAGTGGCGCTCAGCCACGGTATTCGGCTTTGCTGAATGTGGTAATATCCAATGCTATATCATCTTATGAAGTCTTTTTACACCTTTCTAGGACGGTGTATTAAGATAGACCATGTATAATAGAATTAGTCTATCCAGACAGTTGTACATGAGATAGAAGTCTGGATTAAGAAAGTGCCAAAAAAAAGCCTACATCTGCTTGAGTAAGGGCATGCCTTGCTTTGGAAGCAATACCAATCCACATAGTGAGACAGTTTGAGATACTGTTTGGGAACTAGAGAGATCTGTCCAGGGTTGTGGACAGAACGACATATGCAGACATTGTATAATGTTTATCTCGGGACGAATTAAAAAAATTGAGGCCTGATTTGAGCAGACAGTGCCGTGGCCCGTCAGTGTGGGAGAAGCGCACATTGCGGATCGGGTTAAAGCTCGTCAGTGTAACTTCAAGAACTGAGTGGTCGAGGCAGTTGATCGTAAATCGTCAATATGGCTACAAGAATATACACTGAACCTACATGGAAGTCCAATAATGAATCAGCCCCAGCCCCACCATGTCTTGATCATATCTCCTATCGTAGCTTGACCGGCTTGCTTCCTCTTCATGCGTTCTATTCGCTCAGAGACAAACGTCTCCTCCACCTGCTTTGCCACACCCTGCGAAGCCCTGAGCTCCCCCAACACCGCCAGGCGCTCCACTTCCCTCTCCTCCGGCTGCATTTCCGCGAGCTTCTTCTCGTACTCCTTCCTTACATCTGGCTTAATCTGGCCCCAGATATCATTATTAAGATTAAACCCTGGCTCGGTGGGCGTTGGCGCTGTCGACTTCGGTCCACTACTAACCATGGCTTGCGCAACATTTTCTTTACTCAGCAGGCTCCCGAACTTGGGTACGGGCCTCCCCTCCTTCTTTGCCTCTTCCATCTCCTTTTCCTGCGCAAGCATCTGCTGATACAGCTTATCCGCATGCATCTGAATCCGCTCATCGTCTTCCGGGCTCCGCTCCTCCATCGTCATGTACCCCAGCGCCTTGAGGAACTTAGTCTGAAGATCATAACACCTGTTGAAGCGCCGCGACTCGGCTGTGCACATTGTGCCCTGCTGCCACCACGATTGTGGACTCCGCCAACACTCGAATTGCTCCATGTATTCCAGGGCGCAGTTTTCCATGGCTATGCGTCCAATTGCGCCGCGCCGCTCATTGTAGGCGTCGATCAGGTCACGCAGTCGATCTTGCTCATTCTTGCCTCGGTCTGCAACGATGTGCTGGGGTGTGTAATTTTTCCAAAGGTCGGCGTAACGGCCATCTTGGAATTGGGACTCTGGGGGAACGATAGGCTTTTGAGGTTGTGTGGCTTGTGGCTGCGCCTCTGTAGGCGTGGGGGATTCTTCGGCGTGCTTTGGTTTCGATGGCGCAGCTGGTAGTGATGGTTTGGGGCCTATTGGGGCTTCCTTTTTCAAGAAGTCGCGGAGGGAGGGATCGAGTTCGTCTTGGCCATTTGATCTGCTGTTGCTTCCCCAGAACCAGCTCATCTTTCTGCAGTTTGGTGCGGGCCTGAGCGTGAACGTGAAGTGAAGACTGTTTATAGCGGGGATTGGACATTTGACAGGGATTGATGAGATGGGCAACATTTGAACTTCTTCGATGTCACGTGCTGATAGTGTTAGCGCGTTCGGCCGCCATGCACAACACTGGCGATGAACCCAAACACGCGACGACGATAGTTCTACCCCCCCTCCCCCCCCTCGATTGTTACGCCTGCCATCGCTATGGCGCCTGTCGGTATGCTTAGAGGAAACTGATTTATGTCTCAGCTTGCTCAGTGATTGACGATGAACCTAGATCGTCATGAGCGTCGACAACAGCGCGTGCGTGGCGCTGGGTATGTTTATACACCTTACACTCCATCTATGCAAACACTGAAGAATCAAGTCCTTCCGCTGTCCAAGCATCTTTTGGCTTCAACTTTGGCGCCCTAGGCGCTGGGCCCGCCAAACAAGCCTCCCTACCCCCGCAACGATCTTCACGACGAACACCAACAATACACACACCACGCGGCGCAAACGGCTCAGCGAAGCGACATCGAAGCGCGTCTATCCAGCGCAGTAGCGGTGCGAAGCGCAGAAGCACGCCTAGCGATCGCACCCGAACCCCCCAACTGGGTAAGCGAAAGCGCAGCTCCGAGCAGGCGCAGGCGGGCGCAGAGGAAGAGATAGATGAGCTGAGCCCAGATCGCGACGAGAATGTTGCCTCTATAGAAAAGAGCAGGAAGCATGCGCGAACCGTTTCGCCTGTTCACGAGAAAGACCATGGGGAGCCTGACGAACTTTCGATCCTCCAGGAGGAGCCAGATGAGCTGTCTGTTCTCGAAGACGGTGCAAAGTCCGTGCGACGATCCTTTGCACATCTACCAGCAGCTACCAGCGGGACTCGTGTATTGAGTGTTGTGAAGCAACGACCATACCCGCCAAGTAGAGTGCAAGAATCACCAATAGTACATCGAAGCGAAGCGTCACCTACCATATCGCAGCGTTCATTACCCCGGAGATCAAAATCTACAGAAACCGTACCCGTCACCCCGGGTATGTTTCCAAATAGGCGGCCAAGCAGAGTATCAGCTACGGGATCAGATGCCGATCCTACTACGTTTGCAACTGCCCCGGCAGACCAAGATAGTGAGGATGAGCTATCACCATCACATCACCAAAGTACACTGCAAGACGAGCGATCACTGCAGCCTTCACCCCACGGGACAGAAGAGGAAGCAGATGAACTGACATTGCCAATACAGGCAAGTTCTGTACAGACTGCTTCAGTTGCCACAATAAAAAAGCGTGGGAGGCCCAAGAAAGCCACTGAAGCTCAAGGAGAAGAACTGCAGGCAACGCCAGTGGCTCGTCTGAACGGGAAGCGAAAATCAACAAGCACTCTGACAGAATTTGAAAAAGAAGAACTCGACGAACTTTCCCCAGAGTCGGATAAAGCAAGGCAACGCCAAAATGCCCCTCTCGTTGCCGTGGAAGAGGCCCCAGAGTTATCAGATGCAGTAGATCCAGACGCATACGGCGAGCCAGAGCCCCAAGATTTACCAGCTCCCACACCTCCTGCTAGGAAGCGTCGATCTCCCAAGCAGGCGCTGCGTGTAAAAGCATCGAGCGAACTTCCATCACGCAAGCGCCAGAAGTTCTTGGGGCCAAAGCACGCCATCTCAGTCATGCGCATCAAAGGTTCGACCGTTCGAGGCATTACAGTCGCAGATACCGCACGTACGATACTTGAAGAGAGCATCACCCACCGTCTCGCCAGGATGGCAGAGAAGTTACAAACCTCAAAGGACTCTGCCCAAAGGAAAGAGCTACGAAGCTGGATCAATCTGACCTTGTCCTTCAAGGAGAGCCTAGACGAAAAGCTACTTGACCTTCAGGACGCTAACGATGTCCTCAGCACTGGCTTCAAGAAGATGAAGATTTTCAAGCGTGACAATGCTGGACTACGGAAAGAAATCCTTGAACTGCAGAACAGCCGGCAGGAAGTTGCCATCGAGCATGATGCCATTCAAGCAGAATTCGATGCGGATAAAGAGCGAGTTGAGACAAGGAATACTCTAAGCGCCAACATGTACGCAATTGAAGCAGCTGTGCGCAATGGTCGTGAGAAGGCGCTTGCAGAAGGTAGAGAGGATGAAGGGCCGGAGATACCGCTCAGCATGATGATTGACAATGTCAGCCGCCATGTTGGGTCTTTGGGAGGCGGACTTTTGGACCATGTCAAGGGCTTCAATGGATTTTTGGAACGGGCCGCTGGCTGGCTGGAAAGTCGAGCTTAAAGGCTGCTGTACCGGTAAATTACGGCTCATGGGCGTGGAAGGAGTTAAACATTATTGGGATACCCGGCTCTCGTTTGCCACTTTTCATATGAAATAAGTGTTACTATTTGGGAGAGGAGGCAGATCTCACTTCCACTCTCTGTCTTCTTTGACTATACTTCTCTTTGTTGATCTGGCGAGTCCGAAGTCGTCGTACAAGGTGGTTAGCGTGGCCGGTTTAGGCTTGGCACGGTCCGAATCGATAGTATTACTAATACTTTTGGCGCGTCATTGAGTCTATGGACTGCCAACAAACGTTCGACCTTACTTACCCGTTGTCTTGACCTTGGCCCTCACTACTCGCCGATTTCTTGTTTGAAACAGTCGTTTGCATAACTTACTGAAACCACTACGTCAATCCTTATCACAATCGTATTCTAGTGTCTACAAACACAGAACAGCTGCGCACTGTCAACGGGTCAGCTGCCTGGCTCCCACGCCACGCAGTATTGGCTGCGGACCCAGGCACATATCCTCTAGTCTCTATGCCGTCTCCTCAATGCTTTGAAGAGGGCCTGAAGTTTACGTTCTAGTGAAAATGAGGCAGCTCCCTCGTACAGTACAACACCATCTACTCAGCTACTGAAAAGCTGCTGAGAGGAGTTCACGTTCATCTGCCACCCGGTGACGCCTGTCACACGATCCGTTTGTACCACCAGGATCATACGCGAAACAGCACGGAAAACTGGCACACGATCGTTGATATCATTACAAGTCATTCTGACTAGCAAAATGATCTTCCATCAGATTAATATCAGTCTTGGTCAACGGCAAACACCCAGCACTCCTCCTCCTTCTTCTTCTCCTCCTCCTGCGCAGCCGACAACCTTCCCTGCAACGTGTTTTTCTCCTGGATCTGTGTCACCAGCAAGCCAAAAATCACCCCGAAGTCCTTCGAATCGAACTGGGACTCACGAACAGCAACGCAAGGTGTTTTTACAGCATTTGACGAGATGGTCGCATGATCATGATTCTAGCCCATATTTCCACGGTAAAATCAGTATCGCACCTCGAGCGGCTCCAGGTGGAGAAATTTTAGAGTTAGGGAAGTCTGTGAGCTGTATACTTAGCCATTCTGCCTTCACAGATTCGAGGAGAGCTGTTGTCATTCGGTTGTTTCCCCCGCACGATCACAAGATGTCTAAGGAACAAGGCTCGAAAGTGCAGAAGAGAAAGAAATCCATGGACATGTTTGGTTCCAGAGTAATAAGTGATGAAAATCATGAAGAAGACACAGGAACCTCAGATTGTCTCCCTAATCCCCAACCCCCTCCGGGTAAATATAGCAGCATTCCAGATGGCTATTACAAACTCGTCGTTCGATGCGGCTCAGGCTGGATGTCTGCTCGCGAATACTTCAACAAATTACACTTCTCCAGCCTGCTTGTCCAGAAAACACTCAGCCCTTCCACCCCCAACAATGGATCACTCGACAAAATCCTCGCTAATCGATCCAAAACCCTCGGTACACCACCCCGACTAAAAGATACCGTTCCAATCCAACCGCTCTTTCACCCATTTACGCGTCTACCCCCAGAACTGCAAGAACTGATCCTCTTCACCGCAACCTCCCTCTTTGGAACATACAATATGTGTAACGACACGCGCCTCTTCCCGCAACCTGACTCAAACAATGCACAGCTCAGCACAAGCAACCTTCAGTCCTCACAGTCCTGCATCAGTCTCTCCACTCTCCTCCTCATTTCCCCGCACCTAAATCGTGCACTGATACCCTACATCTTCGCCGCAACCACCTTTCACTTCGGTCTCACCGGCTTCACAAACTTTCTCTGGCAGGCTGGGCCCCAGAACCGGCCCCGTATCCGACGTCTAGCATTTCACTTTGGCAAATCAGCATTGCTGCATTGTGTCCGATGGCTCGCGCCTGATCATGTATTTGAGCTGTTTGAACCACCGGTTGTCACAACGCCGCAGAGCTTGCAGTATTTCTGGCGCTGTCAGATCCAAGACTTGGCAAATGAAGTGCACCTCCTCTCGCTCACGGTCGATGTTAGGAACATGCCGGTGCAGGACTTGGGTATGGTGGTGAAGATATTGAAAGTCGTGTTCGGCACTGTGGAGCGGGTGCGGTTTGTGGAGACGGAGAGGAACGGCAGGGTAAAGGTGCTGGATGAGGAAGATGAGAGGGTGAAGATGGCGATGGAAGGGGGCACTTGGAGAGAAATGTGCAGGGGGTATTTTCAGCGATATAGTAGGCATCAGTATTTGATGAGATTTGAGCTGGTGGGCGTGGACGGTGCAGTGTTGGAGGAGAGGATGGAGGAAAGGGCCGCCGAGTTCAATGTTTGAAGAGCAGATGCAGGGCCAATTTGATATTTGCCTTATTTTTTATGGCAAGTAAAATGGACTTGGCGCCTCGAGAGGATATGGCTTTCTGAGCGAGGTAAGAGTCTGGTGGCTCAGGCCAGTCCGATTGTGCTGGCTTGATTGCCGCACATCCCTAGTCAACAGGCAGTATAACGAGGGACAGAGGTCTAGGGTGTGGCTCATGTATGACTGCGGACGGACAAAGAGCCCTTTACGCCAGCCGATCAAATCTCGAGAGCCTCTACAGTCTAGTTAGACGGCTTTCAAGGATGTGTTTCTAAGATGTTTTACGACAAAGTAGTACCGGTAGCTGAGCACGGATCATACCATACAATTTCGGAAAGCGACTGCCGACGTGTTACCGGTACCGGTATCTTATCTCTTGACGGATCATTTCCTTCATCTCTTTCCCACTCCTCAACATCAGCATCTCTTGAGGTTCAGGTGCCGGGATTTTAGAGTGATGTGTTCAAACGGAGCGGAACTTGGTAGGTGCGTCTAGGTGCCGGTACCGTACGCCTAAACTCATCTCAAGCTTTGTTTACCTCCACTTCTTGCACTAACAACTTCCTGAGTATCTTCGAATTGCTAAAGTGCCAATCGCAAGCACCACGAGACTAAGCCAGATATAAGAGCGAAGTCGCAGATATCAGCCGGACTATTGGCCCTTCCGTCACGTGTTCTAATACAGTGGATATTATCGACAAGGCGCGGATCCTGTGAATAATCTACGATCGGACCAAGAAGCGCGCAATCGCAGATGGCCATCGGCTACGAACGTATACAATGCAGGGCATGCTATCGTGTACTTGCTATAGCATCGGCGAATGGGCTTGTCCCTGAAAATTCGGGCCCCCAAGACTGCGACACGTGCTGGCCGTTCAGTGCCTACTACAACGCCGTGCAGAATGTAGACAGGGAATGGGCGGAGATGGAACCAAAGCGTGATTCGCTGAAGGCGAGGCAGATTGCGCGCCTAAACCATATACAAATCCACATGGAGTTTGATAACTGGTTGCTCAAGATCGAAGCAGTTCAAGACGGAGAGCCACACACAAAAGGCTCTGCTGATGATATTAAAAAAGGAGGGGAACTCATACGGAACCTGGATCAGCAGCAGCAACAACACGTTACAAAACGTAGATTTTCAGACTCATCCACCCCCCAGTATACCACGGATGACACCCTGTCCGACGAGCTCCCAGACAAGCAAGCGCACGAACAACAAGGTGGATCTCTCTCCCTCTTCCCTTCTCCAGAGAAGTCATGCAGAACGAGCCTACTGTCACATCGCAAGCGTCTAAAGTTCTCCGACAGTGTAGAATTCCGTGATGACTACAGGGATAGCGCAGAGTACTTGCGTACTGACGAAAGCTATGTACGAGGGCGCTATGCCCCGCCTGATGGGTCCGAGTATCTAGACACCAGCGGCTCGGCCCAGACCTTTCTAAAGTTCTCGGGCGTGAGGAGAGTCAAGGGTAACTGGGTGGAGGTGAGGGACACTGACACTGCAACTAAGCGCAAGGATAAACAAGCGGCACTTGAAGGGGCGCCAGATGATGCTGGGACGCTGAGAGGACCCGCCTGCGATGCACCCCGCAAGATCAATGACAACGAAGGCGCCCCTCGTGATCAACGGGCCTTGAGACTGGCTCGAAGGACTAAGGATACTTCAGGCACAAGCGTGATCCAAGTTAAGCGCCTCGCAAGACCTGCCAAGGACAGTCTCGATCAAAAGGCCATGCAAACATCACTCTCAAGCACATTTCAGCTCAATAAATGAATCCGTTGGAGTTGTGGCCATCAAACCATTCGCTCCTCGAGTGGATCAGGGGCACACAGAGGTCCTGGGCAAAATTGTCGTTGAGAAGCAAGATTCCGTTACAAAGGCAAGCTCGTTCCTCCAGGATCATGTTGTCCCAAAACAATGGGATACTGGGGTAGCTACCGGTGAGCAGGCTCTTGGAATACAGAAGATGTTTGCCAGTCCGAGGGAAAGTGTCCCATTGCCTTGTCGTGCCCCATAAAAGCGGTACGAGCGATGGGTATGCGAATGTGACGATAAGCGATCAACAGCCTACTTCTGATATTAAGTCTTCAGAGCATGTGGCCACGCAACAGACTATAGACGATGAAGCACATCGTGTTCAGACGACGGAACCTCTGTGCCGTATCGGGGGAAGTACCGACACCACTGCGGGTCCGCGACTTAATACGGTTCCCGGACTATAAAGACATTAAGTGGAAGGATACTGTCAGTCCAAAGATCAATTTTGGGGATCCCAGCATCGCACCTGAGGAGAGTGATGATGGTCCATCAGAGGCGTGCTGGTGCCAAAGGAAACCGCGTGACGACCTTGGATCAAAAACCAGTCCTCAGTGAGCTGAAGAACATCCTGGATTGAGGCTCTACTCCAAAGACCACACCCACTACATTCTACATCATGTGGCGTCGTGATCATCGATCAAAGACGGTAGTCACTGAACAAGCCGTCATTCCACTTGACTCTCCCGAAAGCCGTGCATCCCCATGCGCAGAATCCCAGTCTGTAGCAACGTGGCGTGGTCGCGTCACACATGCAGTTAACCCACACAATCCTGCCAATCTTTTTGCTCCACAACAAGCGAACATCATGGTTGTTGCATCTCCGCGGCTTCGACCAACATAGCAATCTGGGGACGGGTACGACTCAGGCTGGTCTGTTTGTTGAATATGGATGGCCAAGCCTATCACAGCTGAAATGAGTTAGGCTGCGGGGATTCGGAAGAGCGTTGTCTTGCGTGACAATGATACGATCGCTTGCTGCCTTGACCTGGGGGTTGATTTCTGGGCTTGATTATGCTTTTTTTTAATTGATCCAACAGTTTCAACAACCTCGAATATGTTATCTAATGAATATCCAACTGTGCCAATAAAGTTTTCTCGCTTGGTGGTTACAGTACCAGGATTTGGCACAGAAGAACGCTTCCGACGTTCCCAGACGCCTGTACAATCCGAACCCGACAAGGGACGTCGCAACAATGGAATGGTTATCCCTCCCGAGAAGAAATCACGACGACGACGACTACGACTACTACTACTACTACTACTACTACTACTACTACTACTACTACTACTACTACGATAAGAGTGCATATTTAACAACGAATCAACATGACCAAAACACTCGAATTGTCTCCACAAATCACCTCACGCATTCACCCCCATGTTCCAAAATCACCTAACCTCCCCCCTCCCATGCCCCGGAATTCAAACATGTACTCACCCACCAAAGACCGCTACAGCACGAGCCTTGTGCCCGTTACCATCCATGCAAAACCAACCAACGCAACCACACAGCCCACATGAGATGCATGGTTCTCTAACATGCCCAAAAGAGGAATCCTCCTAGATAAGCATGGATCCCAGCGGATATATAATGCCGCCGTGCAGGACAGGATGGTGACGTGACGTGATTCTGGTGGAGCATTTCCCCCCCAGGCCGGAAAACACGGCATGGATGGATCTTCCCCCGCGCTCTCTCCCCCCTTTCCCCCTCACAGATGGTAAGCCGTGTTATGTGCGTAGGTGGGCTGCAGTGCGGTACCGGTGTTGCCGTGGGAGGAGGAATGTGCGCTGTGAGGGATGTGCCGGGGCCGGCTCGGCGGCGGGCATACCATGTCCGGTACAGGGTATGACGTAAGAGGGGTGTTTGAGCTTTGGGTGGATTGGGGGGTCTGGGGTGCTGTTTGCGGGGGTTTATCAATGGTGGGGGAGGGGTTTAAGGGGGGTTTATGTTTTGCTGGGGAGGAAGGATGACGTGAGGGGGGAGTGGGATGGGGACGGGGATGGAGATTGATAAGAGGGTGGAGATTGATAGGATCTATTTTCGGAAGAGGTACGGAGGTGCCTTTCAAAAGTTGTGTCTGCCAAGGTTATATAGGCCCGATTTTCGGCCGTACCTAAGGTCCCCCCCTGCCCTCTATATACTCGTTACCTCCTTTAAGGTGAATGATTATTAGTATATGTACAAGTATACGCTTAATCCATGCCTAAATCTTTGCTTGTGGTAGATCTATCCAGCACTACTCCCATGCTTTCACTGCCTCTCTCTTTAATTAAGGAGCTCCTTTCTTTGTTGTCTCTCTTTTTATATAATACTAGCAAGGCTTAATACAATTATAGTTAGGTAAGTTGCTACACTAAAGTAATTTCTTAACCTAATATAGACTATAAACAGTCTCCTAAAAGTGATAAGAATGCGCAGGAGCTTTGTCCTCTATTACTATAGTCTAAGGCCTGTCTTAGAGGCATGCTTAAGCAAAAGGAATAAGCTTTAGGATTAGTACACAACTCTAATACCTCTACTAATTAATACCTGCCCTAGACTAACGTGAAAGCTTGCTATTCTTTTTAGTAAATGTCTACTATAGCTTCTTGCTAGGCTTATTCCTTAGGCCTATCCTCTTTATAGCTGTATTTAGCTGCTATTTATCTCTTAAGATAGGCTTAAGCTTAGTATTTAGCTTAGCAATTCTTTAATTTGCTAACTCCTTCTCTTTCTTTATCTTAGGCGTATATATATAATAAGGACCCTTCTTATTATATAAAAAGTAGCCCTAGAATATAAATTTAGAGTATCCTTTCTACCTCTTATAGATGCAGCTCTTAACAACTCTTTTATCTGCTTGTCTCTAGATTCTATAGCCCCTACGCCTATAGTTAATAATAATAGAGGTCTTATCTATCTATATTACATTCTTCTAATCCTCTAACGTCTAGTGTTAGTAGTTAAGCGCCTATCTTAGCCTCTGCTTCTTTATCTCCTATATTAATCTAGGCTTCCTTATTAGCTTAGTCTTCTTAAATCCTGCCTCTCTTAAGACTCTCTAGATAGTAGTTACTAATATATTAATACCTTAAGTGCTAAGGCTACTAGTAATGTTAGTATATGTCTTCTCTCTTCTATATCTATCACGCTATACTTCTTAAATTATCTAATCCTTTATCTCCTTTATCTGCTTAGTAGGTTAGCTAGAGCGTAGGGCGTCTTAAACGTGCTTAGGGAGGAGCTTAAGAGGGAGGAGGTTTAGCTTAAAGCTAGCAGTAATAGCTCTGCTATACACTTAATTAACTATACGTGGATTAACTCCTATTAATACTGTAACCTAAGAGGTAGGCTTGCTAACAGGAGGTGACTTTAACGCAATAATTAGAGCACAAGTTTATATATTAGTAGTAGGGCCTGGCATTATAAACTAATTATAAAAAAACCTTATAAAAGGTTAATATATTATATATACGTGGCCTTACAAAAAGTTTTATATATCGCCAAGCGCCGAAGACGGGCCAAAGGTGGTCTACTAGCGTCAGACACAACTTTTGAAAGGCACCTCCGTACTTTGTAGACTTTTGTTTTTGGTCTTTCTCTTTCTTCCAAGGCGAAGACGATGACGTTGTGAATTTGGTGCTAGAGAGACGTGTACAGTAGTACTATCGTAGATGCATGCCATGTGTTAATGCAGTCTCATCACAGTTGGGCCCGTCGAACGTGGAAGAAAGCTTGGGAACATGTCATGTCTCATGGAGATCGAGATTGTCGTCTCGAATCGTTCGTCTGGTATAGGGCCTTGGACGATCTTCAGGCGCGTACGCAACGGTTTCTAGGTAGGCTCAGCACTACTTGTACATGAGCCTCGTTGTCTGCAGGGTGCAAGGCGCAAGCCACCTAGTGCGGACTTCGGAGTAGAGTAGACTGAAGAAATGTCCGAATGACTTGCTCCAGGACGTTCTTACTTTTGTGACTCGGTCCTTTCTCGTTCTCAGAGGATGTCTTACTGTGGACATTGTGCATACCGATATCACAAGCCCCTCCCCCCCACTCTTCCTCGCCTCGCCACTCCTTCTATAACATTGTGAAATCTCGATTTCCTTTACCAATACCCGTATCACTGAGTTCATCTGCTTACAATGACGCAGAGTCCATGGTGATGCGCCACCTTCCCACGCAGACACACGCTGGATCGACACTTGGCACAGACTGTTATTTCTATATCACCCATAGTGCTTACCTTATACCGAGGTGGTGACTGCCCACCACCATTGGCGACTCCCCTATCCCGGGTTGACTAGGAGACACCTATTTAGGACTAGTGGGGATGTCTATATCTAGCCACCTTGGCCCTTTGTCTATAGATACTTTAATTAATACTTTCTTATTATATTAGGTTATAAGCCTAGCTTATCTACTAGTATACTTAGCTTTATTTACTAGTACCTGCTTATATTAATCTCTCTTTATTAGCTTCTACTACTTTAGCTATATCTATTACTAATATTTACTATTATTATAGCTTCCTATTCTAACCTATTTAACGCGTCCCTACTACTATTACTAGCTCTACCTATAGCTTTATTAGAGGTACTA